ACTTAAGTACAAAAAATATCAGATACTTTAAGACTTTTACTCAAGTAACATTCCTAAAGGTGACATTAACTTTTACCAAAATAATTTTTTGGTAAGATACTTGTACTTTTACTCAATTTTCACTTTGTGATACTTTATACAACACTGCTCCTCTTGTTCCCTTCAGACAGGCGTGGGCAGAACTGGTGTACATAACTGGCCCACCTCATTTTATGTCTGTCTGTGAACCATAAACCATTTATACGTCTTTCTGTTAATATTAACTTCACCAGTGTCTCTCACACACTCTAAAAACTTCATTTGTCAGAATTAAATGAAGGATAATTAAAACATCACCATTCCACAGCTGGCATGCTGGTCCGTGCGGATCCGTGGATTTACTTAAACATATGTCGACAGGTTCTGTGCAACTGAATTGAGGAAATGTAACACATTTTGTCATGATCTGTGTTTTTATGCCATGGTTTTTCTAAATGTTTCAGTAGTCCCCGGTGTTCTGTGCCCAGCTGCCCTGCCCACACTCACTTGTTTCCCCTTGTGTCTTCTCCAGGTGTTTCTCGTTAACAGAAGTAACAAAATACTACAGAAATAGTTAAACACCACAAAACAAGTCATGACAAGAATTATAGTTGTTACGTTTTATTTCACATCTTTCCACAATTAGTTTTTCCATTTCATTAGTTTTACTTAGATAAAAATTGTGAAGAGAGCTGAAGCCACCAGCAGCAGGACGACACTGGTTGGACCTGCTGCTACTCCACTGTTACAGAAGTCTCCTTCACAGCAGGAAAAAGGGCTCGTGCAGGCTGCACTGTTCCAGCAGCCCTGGGTAATCAAACCTGTAAACCAAGATAGAAAAGTATTAGAAAAAATACAATAAGTAGCTGTATTATAGTGGTTTAATTTTGATTTTATAAACAGTCATTGAGTCTGGAACTCCTTATATGTTCAACAGCTAACCGTGTCCTTGGATAGAGTAACAGAGGCTGGAAATTGAATCACAATGTTTTATTCTTCTGCAGGACTTTGGAACAACTCCTATGCACGAGTAGCACCACAGACCACACGCTGCAGAAAAACACGGAACACACACACACACACACACACACACACACACACACACACACACACACACACACAC